AATCACAATACAGTCAGGTGCTAGACACCATATGCATCTGCTGCGCACCTGACAGTATTGGGCGCTGCACCACATAGTATCTAATGATAGTATCTGGTGCGCACCATATTTTAACTGAAAAATAAACCCCCAACGTCCCCTCAGGGGCTCCGTATATTTCTTTTGGTTCACTCATCATGAAATATTTAGACAGCTGCTGTTTTCAAGGTTTTTAGAACAGTGATAAACACTGTAACTTCAGTTTTGTTTATTTATTTACTTTTTTACATCATTTGAAAATGTCAGCCGTTCTTTACATCGAGTAAGAATTTCATGAAGAACAGACCAACAGAAACTGGTGTCGATATGAACGTATTCTAGAAGTGTGTTCTGACTCTGCACCGGCGCCGACACACTTCCGTCAAAGCGTTCTTTTCCTCTATCACTCATCACGTTTGTACATCAGATCGTCCGGCAGTGCGTCGCTGACAGCTAGGATCGATTCCCCAAACCGTTCTATGATCGTACTCACAGCAGTGACGTCGTCTCCTTCACATCATCAGCATGACGATCAAACCTTCAACGAGTGTCGTCACCTTCAGAGCCTCTCCGCCTCCACAGAGACACCATCATCCAAAACATGAGGTCTGATAACACGGCAAGAGTCAGAGATCAGTTTAGAGATCTGAGTCAGGAGGAAATGAACTCCTCCGTTCCAGACTCTGTTACTCTGAGTCACTAACTCAGACAGTTATTCTGATAAACTGAGAGTCCTTTTAAATGAGACCAGCATCATCACTGTAGAACAGAGTGTGTGGGAACAGCGCCCCCTTTACTCTGGGTCCACCATTACAGGCAGAAATGGGGCCACAGTTTCAGATTAAAGTCATTAAATCTAAAACAGTATATTTAGAATATAAGAATCCAAGCACAAACTCATTTAGAGCCACACTGTATCGACTGTATCTAATACAAAGACTTTTATTCTGTATTAATAAACAGACTGCCTATTATAATACATATATATAACACACCTATATATATATATAAATTTGTGCGCCCCTGCTGTGTATGAATAAGTTACACATCCTCTACAGAGACTCACTACTGTACATTTTAATACACAATTACTGTTTATTAACTGAATTTAACATATTGGAACATAAAATGTGGCCTGTGCAAAAGTTATGGCACCTTATGGCAAATTACTTTCATTGTATTTTTAAATGTCCTGAATTCTGATTACACAGGATCAATAAACTAATCCTGAACCACTTTATATGTCAGGTTTTATTTTTTTCAACATGTTAATAAACAGTAATCGTGATTTAAGGTGAAGAACAGCTCCGTGTCCTGATAAGTGTGAGTATTAGAGCGTGTGCAGCTGCAGGTCCAGACTGCAGACCTGCTTCCTGTGCAGGTGAGTTTTACAGCTTCACCTGAAGGCCTCACGCTTACATCACCTCCCTCTGCTCTCCTACATCACCCGTCCTCTTCATCAGCCCGTCAGGCCGAGCAGACACTTCAATCAGAGCGTGCTGATGAATGACGAGGATCTGTGCGGATGATTTACGCTAAACTTTCCTTTCAACTCCTTTCAGCTCTTTGTGTCTTTTATTTCACTGAAAAAAGACTCGGACTGTAAATTATTGACGGTAAACTGACTGTAATCTGTGAGCTGCTGCCAATAAAACCTGAAATAAAGGCCCAGCTGAGATTTTCCTCACAAATATTTTACAGTTGAGCCCTCGCAATAAAAAAAACAGTATATATGATAAGTTTTGGTAAAAATCATACAAGCATGGTCTTTAAAATAAAGGGGTCGCTAAAACATAAACAAAGCATAGTTTGGATTTTTAAAGTAAAAGGTTTACAAAATAAAATAGAAAACAAAATGACTGATAATCCAAAGATAGTGAAGTGGATTATATATGGTTTCACTGGAGGAGCTCAATTAAGTCTGTTAGCAACAAACGAAACATCTAGTTTAACCACAGAGAGCTGACTGTGTAAGTTAGATTGGGGTAAAACATCAGATATTTAACGTAGTTAAACAGATTAAGAGGTAAACTGGCGCATTTGCACTCGCACTGCTTTCAGCTGGGCTGCTGATAAACAGTAAAAGCTAGAAACAGTATATAGTAGATTATCTGTATAAGAAGATTCTGGTAACACTTTCTATGGATACTGTGTCTATAAGAACCCATAAACACATTCATAACATGGTATAATGCATTAATAAAGAATCATAAACATGGCTATAAATATTTACAAAAAGGGCATTACAGTTTATAGCCATGTTTATTAAGCATTATGAATTGTTAATGCATTATAACACAGCAATGAGCCACTTGAAGCCGAGCGTTACAGGGATTTTATCAGGAAGGTTTTTCTTTGGCACGTTTTAATGAGGAGTGAAACTCTTCCCTGTGATAAAATCACTGTAACGCACGGCCTCAAGTGGCTTATAGAGTTTGGTATCACTGCCAAGAAACCACTGACCACTGAACAAGGAGGACGCCCGGTCGCCCATCGCTGTTCACTGCGGTCATTTCTTGAACCTTTTAGCTTTTTGTCGTGTAACAGTGAACATATGATCACACAGCACTGTTTAATGCAGAAACTTCGCTTTATAAGTACTTTTTGGTACCAAATCACCACCGAGAGTCTTATTTAGCACCAATCCAGCGACGCCCCTCTTCTCACGCTGGGGCTGAATCTCAAACGGCTCCCTGCTCCCTACATAGTGCACTACGTAGGAGTTTAAATACTGGATCCTGCAGCCCAACAGAGCAAAATACAGCTGAGAAACAGTCATTTGGGATTCAGACTCATCCACACTCGATACATGATGCACTGTTTGGCTGTAGAAGCTGGAATATCTAAACGTTCATATCTAGAACACTATTTAGGGAGTACAGAGATTTACATTGGATTTACATTCTCTATGTACAGGTTTGTGTCTGCACTTCTGACTGTTTTCTGTTTGTTTCAACATCAACGAATGATAAAAAGAGCAAAAATATAGGATAAAATAAAAATAAGGATGTTTTTTTTCCTTTTGTGTTCCAAAGCAAGACTTGAACACACAATAATCACAAATTAATCAAATTTAAACCGTAATAAAACAGCTCCTCTCCTCATTCAGTACCGCTGCAGACACTGAATCACGCGCTTTAGTGTTAATAAATAAATAATTGTCCAATATCCAACATCTCTTAGTCCAACATCTCTTAGTCCAACATCTCTTAGTCCAACATCTCTTAGTCCAATATCTCTTAGTCCAACATCTCTTAGTCCAATATCTCTTTGGAAATTGGGCTATTCTCACTATTTCACACAGTTAGCGCTGCTCCTGAGTCCTTTAAACTGAAATAAACTCATAAACAACATCAACAATAACAACATAAACAGAGTTACAGACTCACCTTTTCTGCTTCTTGGAGTAAAGCACTATCGCTACGACCATAATAATCAGCGTCAGTATGGCTGCGATGCTGCCCAGCACGATGCCCAGAATGTTGTCTGCAAAAAAAATAAAAAATACAGTAAACAAACAAACAAACAGACAATCGAACAGATACATTTACACGTGATGACACTGAGGAGTACAGCACTGTGGAAAAGCCGTGAAACACAACTGAGTGATTTTAAATATAATGATACGTTTATAGTGTCTTCCTATATTACTGTCCTATCCTACTGTCCTCCTCACTAACTGTCCTCCTGTATTACTGTCCTATCCTACTGTCCTCCTGCCTAACTGTCCTCCTGTGTTACTGTCCTATCCTACTGTCCTCCTGCCTAACTAATTCTTTTTTACCTCTTTTTCTTATTTCCTTTCTTTTTCTTCCTTCCTTCCTTTCTTGTTTTTTTTTGTTCTATTTTATTCCATTTGGATTCTGAGACTCATTCCTTACAAATATTGGTATTTTCTTGCTTCTGAAGTGCTGGGTGTCCTTCAGGAAGAGCAGACTGAACTGTTTTGATCCTTAATTAAAAATCTTTGCTTCCGTCCTAAAAAACACACTGTGATTGGTCAGAGGGTTAATTTGCATACTGCAGCTCTCTGTAATCTCAGTACTATACAGACTGACATCACGATAACGATGGGTAAGCGATGTATCGTACAGCCCTGAACACAGTCAGCGTTTTCACTGTGGAACAGATGGATGTGAATATTTTAACAGATTGAATCTTAAGCTTTACACAAACCCCCCATTTTCCGTTCTCTCCCGCATCCCTTCATCTGACCCTCAGCGTTCCTCCTCGCTCTCTCAGTTCCTCCTCGCTCTCTCACTCTCTGATATATAAACTGTGCAGGAATGTATGAGTCTCGTTTACACTGAGACTCACTAATGGACCTGCACTGCGCTCACACGCCTCACTGACATGCGGGTCTGAGGTCGAGAGAGATAGACAGATAAAGAGAGAGAGAGAGAGAGAGAGAGAGAGGCTAAGAGCCCACATCCTCCAGCACTGCAGTACTGATATACACCACCCATCAAACGACTGACTTTCTTTTGAAATATATATTGAAATATGCCCCAATATATCTCCCCCTGCACCCCCCCCTTTACCACAGATCAGCAGAGTCATGTTTGGTGTCTACAGTTTGCTTTTAAGTTTTAGCACTGAAGCTATGAGGCTATTGTAGCTACCAAGTACTGAAAACCCCACCAGTGAGTTTTTACAGCGTCAGTAATATTACTAATATATTATATAATAAACACAGTTAAAAATAGACACATATGCATTTATAGTTGAATATAACATATAACGACACAGCACACACACACACACACACACACACACACACACACACACACACACTCACTCACACACACACACACACACACACACACTCACACACACACGCACGCGCGCACGCACACACGCACACACACACACACACACACACTCACACACACACACACACACACACACACTCACACACACACGCGCGCACGCACACACGGACACGCACACACACACACACACACTCACACACACACACACACACACACACACACACACACACACACACACACTCACACACGCACGCACGCGCGCACGCACACACGCACACACGCACACGCACACACACACACACACACTCACACACACACACACGCGCGCACGCACACACGCACACACGGACACGCACACACACACACACACACTCACACACACACACACACACACACACACACACACACACACACACACACACACATATATATGAGAGAGAGTTGATGTTTTTCGTTTCCGCTGCCAGAACAAAGCAATGAAACGAGCGATTATTCCTGCTGGAGATTTGGAGCGGGCGGTTCTGAGCAGTCCTGAGCGGTTCTCTGTGGTTCTGATCTGGCCGAGCTGCACCTGCTTTTGTCCCGGCGGGAGTTTGGCGCTGCTCCTCTGCTCCAGATGCCAAATGAGTGAAAACAGACCAAACACACAGCACCGATACACAAACACAACACTGAGCATCACAGCTTAGAGACACGGTTTGGAGAAAAACACTGAAGTTCACTTCTTTAGCTTTAGCACAGGAGCTCAGAGGCTGCAGCGGTAGACTGTGGTGAGCTAACGCTAACACTAGAGCTAAATACGTGAAATACATGAGCTTCAACAGGAAGTTTCTTCTCCTCAGTGGATGATGTGCGCCTGCTAGCATCAACTAGAGTAGTCACTCACTTTAAAGGTGCCGTATACGATTTTAATCCAGTACACTTTTTCTCAGAATCAGAATCAGAATCAGTTAATATCTCCTCACAAAGAGTCTCAGACTAAACAACACAATACTATTCCAGACAATCAGCAGCAGGGGGCGCTTGTGCTCATGCACAGGACAGCGGAAGGGGAAGGGGCTACGTGCTGAAATCCACACTTCATCAAGAAGGAGAGAGAGTTGAGAAACAGCCAAGAGGAGAAGATCTGAAGAACCAAGATTGAGAAAGAAGTTCTTAGATCAGATGAGGGAGTTTCAGCGAGGCTGAAGTCGGCTTCCAACTCGCGTTTTCCAGTTCCACCTTAAATCTTGCAGCAGTTCATTTTGGTGCCTACGGTGCTTGAAGGTAACTGCTGCACCATTTAAGGTGGAACGGGAAAATTCGAGCAAGAAACTGGTGAGCAAGAAGAATGACGTCAGCTTCATTGAGAGCTGAAAGGTTAGTAAGGGATGAGGGTGTCGCTCCTGCTGGACAGGAGGCCAACATTAACTCCTTTTTGCTGTTTCACAGAACCAGCGGGTCAGTACTGTTTTCGACCTGTTTGCTAATGTTTGTGACAGGAACTGATTAGCTTCAGTTTGCTAACCCACAGCCGAGCTAACGTTAGCTACATCGCTGTGTGGTTGTTCACTCTAACGTTATGTGATGGTGTTTGTCTGTACAACGTGTGCGAAGAGTTATATGGCCAGAAGAGTTCAGTGTCATTTGCTTTGGCGATGCACGTCCAGAGAACTTGTAGAGAGAAGAATTCCCACTCTGTAATGTCTCCGGGTTTCTCAGACGACTAGAGGGCGCTCTAGAAACATTTTAAAACATTTTAACACTGCTGTTATATTCTTAGGAGCTTTTAAACTCGAGTTATAGAAGTTTCAAACAGCGCCTCATGTACGTCCATGATGTCAGTGAGCGCGAACAGCCAATGAGGTGCACTCAGTAGCAGTAATGTCAGCGTCCTGCTGCCCAAAACCCGTTTACTGTAGTAAAAGGAAACATACAGGTGAGATTTCTTTGCTTTTTCAGTGAAATTAATTCACTTCTACTTTCTAAAATTAAAGGAAGGTTCTGGTTTAGTGTTTTTAGCCGTTTAGCTCCATCCACTCCCATTCATTGAGGACCCCCTCGCCGGCGCCCTCTGCTGTTTAGCAATTCTGTTTTTGATACAACGGGGGAAACAGGAAGTGGCCAGACTCCTCATGAACCAGCTCTGGTGCATCCATGAATTTGGGGGCGGAGCTTCTGAAGGAGCACTAAAGAGAGGGGTGTGTTTGCTTTGCTGTTGAGTTTAAATAACAATCGTTCTCCAGATTCGTTTACTGCACCTTTAACTGTGAACATCTATGATAATTCATCACTGCAATAACCAAACCCAGCTTTTATTAAGACCAGTAATTATTCATAAATGTAATATTTTTACAGGCTAATGAAGCAGAATAAGAGCAGCACTGAAACAGCTCCAGAACAGAAACACGACTTTGAGGACAGATTAAAGCTTTATGAGAGACAAATAACCAAAACTAATCAGCAGGCTTTGATCAGAAAGCCGAGCGTCTGAACCGCGCTAATCATAACCGTGTATTATCAGAGCTCAGCCTTTCCTAATCAATGCCACGCTGCTCTGAATTCTGATATTTATGAAATACGTCTTGCTGGCAGCATGACATTGATTACAAAGAGGTCCGAGAACCGGCGCACGATTATGATTAGCGTTGTTGAGTAACAGCCTTAAATCTACACCAGCCGTCCTGCCAGCCTGACGCTGATTGATTCTGACCTGCTTTGTCGATGTTTTTCTGGCTGCTCCTCACAAAAGCTTTAAAGGTTCAAAGCTAATGTTTCTAATCTGGATTTATTCTGTTTCTGTGTTTTGGTCTTACGCAGCATTAGCATGTGTCAGAGATGTGCAACAGAGGCGATCAATTAACCAACACAGTGTAACTCACTGCTTCAGTCAGTGTTTCTGGGGTAAAACATTAATTTAACCGCTTAAACTGAACACTTACTGAACCGGGCCGAACTGGTCAGGGTAAAAAGCAGTAAGTTTATCTTAATATTGTTCAGTTTTTATTATTTGCACAATAAACATATTTTAAAAATTACTTTAGTTGTTTAAGATGGTTCTTATTAAAAAGTAAAGAGACATCCAGAAAAATAAGATACAATTAATCTACAAAAACAGCATCTAAACTGGTTTTATTTGGGGGAAAAAAGTATAAAGCTGTTTATCTGGTTAGTTATTTCCTGAACACAATAACATACAATAACTTTAGTACTGTATGTAGTGATTTTATGCATGTTATGTTTTTGTCCTCTCCTCAAGGAAGACCAGTATTATTTGTCTCATCCAATTTCTCATCAGCTTTATCTAATCAGTACTTCATTATGTTCATTACTCTTTTGAATATAAGCAATTCTTGTCATTTTTTACTGTATGTGTTTCTTTGAACTTATTCTAATCATATTTGGTGATTTTAGAAGCACAAACACACTTATTGTCCAGATAAAGGCCTTAAACAATGTGCTTAGGTGCTCAGTACTGCCCACATACGTACACCGACTGGCCACTTCATCAAGTCCACTCATTGTCATGTCATGTCATCAGCTCCACTAACCACATAGGTGTGTTAGAGGGTGTTGCACTGGTCTGAATGGATCAGACACAGCAGTGCTGCTGGAGTTTTTAAACACTGTGTCCACTCACTGTCCACTCTATTAGACACTCCTACCTTGTCGGTCCACCTTGTAGATGTAAAGTCAGAGACGACAGCTCATCTGCTGCTGCACAGTTTGTGTTGG